CGTGGTCGTCGTGGTCGTGGTCGTCGTCGTCGTCGTCGTCGCTGCTCGATCGCTCCGGTACGGATGACCGAGCGGAAAAGCAAAGTTTTCCGCTTCGCGGAACTCTACGACTCGACGAACAGAACCACGCGGTCGCTGAAACGCGTAACCGTTGCTCGCGCATCCGATCATCCATACGTGCCCGTAATAGCCGCATCGGTGTTCCGTCAGGTCCGCGTCGGCGATACACGACAACGACGATCACTCTTCTCTTCTCCGCGTCTTCGACTTCTCGCCTACGCTCTCGTCCCTTTATCTTCTTTTTTTATCTCCGCTAAGGGTACGCATGGTCGATACACGTTTAGATTATAGGTTATCCGTTTGATCGCGAACGAAGGACACGCGAAGAGAATAGGCGATCAGTGGTGTACAAAGGGGTGGGCAAAGGAGAGCGCAGAGGTGTCCACTTGGACGGCGTAATCCGTTGGTCCTTTGCTCTTCACCCCATTTCGCTACACCCCTGTTTCGCGTAGGCCTTTCCACCCTAGATCGCACGCGGGTGACACGCTGGGGTCGTACCGGTTAGGCGCGCGTCGTGTTCGTCCTGGCGTGAAGCGACCACCGCTAAACCTTCTTCGACCTCGATTTCTCGTTATCCTCCTCATCGTCGTCATCGTCGTAGCCGTCGCCGTTGCCGTCGTCGTCGTCGTCGCCGTCGCCGTCGGCCGAAATACGTGAAATCTCGTTACGGTTCGCCTCGGGGGTCAGCCGGTTCGTCACCTCCCGGTTACCGCGGAGGAAGCGATCAGAGAGATTCGATAACGAAATAGATTCGGAATAGAACCGGCGCGCGACGGTGGATTTTGAACGCGCGATAACGGTAAAAGCGGAAACGATTCGACGTTCGTACGGGGTTAGAGCGTAACGAGCCCTTCCGAAGAAGAGGCACTTGGCCCGTGACAGCGGAACGAGAGAGAGAGAGAGCGAGAGAGAGCGAGAGAGATGAAGAGAGAGACATAAAGCTCTTCGTACCGAACCACGCTCTTATTCTCACCGGCATTTATTATTTGCCGAGGAAAGGGAAGGGAAGGGAAGGAAAGGGAAGGAAAGGAAAGGAAAGGAAAGAGGAGAAAAAGAAAAAGGAAAGAGAGCAACGAAAATCAAACTCTCATTCTCTGCTTTCCACCGGAGGCTGTGCTTTCCTCGGCTTCTCTGGCAAGGCATAAGGGTAGAAAGGGGGATGTGGAAAGGGGGGATGAAAAGGGGGTTGGAAAGCGGGAGAGCGGGACAGGAGGAAGAGGAAGAGCAAAAGCGGGGTTTTCCCGTTAATCCGAGGCTAGAGTCGGGTCGGCGTATAGACGAGCGCGAGATTCGCCGACGTTTTCGTGCTTCTCGACCTATGCGAGCACGCGTTTTTCCCGTTCGTTCGATTTTTCTCGCTCGTCTTTCGCCGTGTGGGCGCGGTTATTTTCATCTTCCTTCTCTGTCCCTCGCCGGTGCCTATCGGCAGGAATTATCCGTGGCTTTCTCCTCGAAGAATCGACGTATCGATCGCGCGAAAGCTCACCGAACTGTTCGTTTACCCGTGCACTAATAAGCGTGTACCGGCGTAAAATAACGACGTGAGTAGGAGAGAAGGAAGGAAGGAAGGAAGGAAGGAAGGAAGGAAGGAAGGATGCGCGCACGAGAGAAGAGAGAACTCGATCGGCTCTCTCGAGATTTTCGCAACGCGTTTGTTCGTCGAGGATTCGCGTTCGAAGACGATGACGAAGGATCCAGGTGAATAACGAGCAAGGAGAAGAGTCGGAAAGATCGACGCATCGATCGATCGAAAGTATGGTCGAATGGCGCAGGGATGCGTTAGGGATGCTAGTGGCGCGTTTTTAATTGGCGGATAAAAAATTTCCATATCGATATCGGTCGCGTGAAGCCAACGTTATCGCTATTTACTCTCCACAATCAACCTTCCCCCTACGACTCCCTGTCTGCGCGCAATTCCGTAGCGACCGACATCGCGCGCGTCAAGTTTTTCCTTTCCTTCGCGGTCGACGATTCGTCCGAACGTGGAACACGATCGCGATATTCGCATTCCATTCGATTCCAGTCCATTCGGGATACGGAGAAACGAGACGAGGAGATCGAGAAGGAAAGCGACCTTGACGGCGTATAAATAACGATTCGGAGGAGAAAGGGAGGAGAAAAAGAGGAAGAAGGGTGAAGGCAAAGGCAGAACCGAAGCCGAAGGGGCACAAGCGTGACGCGAGATAAGATGGAAGCGCGATTTTAAATTATCCGCCATTCGTATCTGTCTACGTCCGAACCAACGGCATTCGAAGAAAGAGAGAGAGAGAGAAGGGGGACGGGTGTACGGTTACGCGTGGTTTCCTTCGCGAAAGCGCCGTGGCGTTTCGTACGCGCGGAACTCGCGCGGCGCTTTCCTCGTCTGCTTCGAGGAAACGAAGCGAGTTTTCACCGAGAAACGAGACCGAGATCGCAAAACTTTCCGAGTTTGCGAGTTTCTCTCGCGTCGACGTAATTTACGATTTAATGCCGTCTTTCGGTGCGAATCTTTATCGACGCGGAATTCCCCGTAGGCGAAAGCGACACGAGAAAACCTGCACGTCCTCTCTTTCGGTGTCGAAGGAACAAGGGAGGCGGAGTCGACGGAGTATCAGGAGGGAGGGAAAGGTTGAAATTTACGATGACTATTAATACTGTGACGGATTCGGCGGCGCGATGGCTCGGTGGCGGCGCGTGCCACGATCACGACGGTCTGCCGACCGACGACCGCTTCGAATGGCGAAAGGAAGAAACACGCGCCGTCAATATGGACGACGCATCGTAGCGGTCGTCGTCGTCGTCGTCGTCGTCGTCGTCGTCGTTCGACAGTCGTCGGTGTTCAAAGCCCGAGTACTTCAGACTTCCGTGTTTACGGAACGCGAGCGACAGCTTGACGGCTCCCTTTTTTCTTCCTTCTACGCGATTCCTTCTCCCTGCACTTCCCTCGCTGCTTGCCTCACAATTCGCGCTTTGCCGGCAGAAATGCCAGCTTGTTCGCCTCTTTCCTCGCCTTCGTCCTCACCCTCGCTTTGCCTTCGCTTATCCCCTTACCTTTGCCCTCTTTACCTTCCCCCTCCTAACCTCATCCCCCTTCCGTTTCCGTTCTCGTTCCCGTTCCCGTTCCCGTTCCCGTTCGCGATCCCATTCTCCTTCCTTTTCTTTTTCTCCCCCTTTTCTCGCTCTCGCTACCGCTCTAACCACCCGTGAATCCGAGCCATCTTCCTTCGCGCGCGGGACGTATCGCGCGAAATATATTTCGCTGGTCCGCGAAACTTGCTTTTGCGAAAAGAGGGGAACGAAAGTAACGACCGGCGAAGAACGTGTCGCGATAATTCTTCGTAGGACAGCGACGCGGTTTGCGAGTTTCCTCTTGAAGCAAGATTTACGCGTTTCAGACCTGCCAGACCGAGTTTTCTCGCTTCCAAAAGAACAAACTTTTCAACAAACTGGCGCACTGGCTTTCCTCGTCTCCGAGTTAGGTGTACCGGTCGATCGATCGATCGATGGATCGATCGATCCGTGACTAGACTCGTATCGACGTGACTAAAATTACCCGAACCGAGACGGAGGTAAATAGGAGGCTTGGTATAACGATTCGTCGAAACGCAGACGCGTCGATCGTTTCCTCGAGGCGGAATAAAAAGGGGGAGTCGTCGAGTGTTCTTCGTAAAACGGTCGAAAGCATCCTTCGACCGTGACTAATGGAACGAAAGGACGAGCGTGGTCGAGAGAATCGACGAACGAACGTACGAACGGGCCAAAACTCGTGAACCACCCATCGATCGAAAAATTACCGAGGCACCGGTTTCTTTCGTCCATTCCGATGTCGGGATTACACGCCGATCGAGAGATATTCGGTAGCGTTGTTGGTACTAATGGTAGCGCTGCTGTTGCCCCCTGGTCGAATCGAAACGAGTCAACTGCTACCGCCCCGATCGTCGTAAGATCGGTAACTCCTTCCCGTTTTACCATCGGAACGGTCGATAGCCGTTGGTACGCGTGCTTCTTGTTGTCGCGGTTACTCTTCGGAAAGGTTTAACGACTGAACGTTCGAGAGGATCGAAAGAATTCGAGCGTGAATAAGAGTAACGCGAACCTCGCAAACGATTTAACCCGTCAAGTGTGGTGACCGCGCGACGACGAACCGTCTCGATAGACGTGGACTAACCTCTGTCTGCTTCCTTTTCCCGGTTTCTCGAAGCGAGAACGCGTTCTAAGAATTTCTTCCAATTTCTTCGGAAACGAGTGCCGGTACGTCGTACCCGAGAACGGAGAAACGCGTTAATCGTTGGTTGACTATGGTTCGGTATAACGAGGGCAAATAAACTTTCCATCGATACTCTCGATTTTGTTGCCGTCGAGGAAAATTTCGATCCGACGATGTCACGTGAATCGAAACGAGTGAACGCGAAGAACGAGTGCGACGAAAAGATCGAAACGAAATTTTGCGAGATATCGCAACGAGATGACGCAACGAGAGAAATGCTTCCGCAGAGAAAAGACTCTCTTAGAGTCCCGCGTAAAACGATCATCGTTTAAAGATATAGAAAGAAGCGTAACGACCCTCTCATTGAATCTGACCTATGAAAGGCGATGAATATCTGTAATTCCGTTAATGGATCGTACGGAAAATTCGTCCTAGAAGGTTGTCAAAGAATCGTACGGAGCCGTGCGCAGAGTATCGTCGTCCTCGGTTGTGTCTCGTATTTAAATAACTCTCGAGAAGGGAGCTTGCTCTTTCGATTCGTTTCTCTTTGCACTCTTCCCAATTGACCTCGTCGCGCCTATTGATAGTTATCGAGCATAAAAACAAGCCGATTCGCGTCGAGGATGTCGGTCGCGAATTCCGCTCCCCTTTTCCCTAATATCTTACCACCGAAATTACCATCCCATATCGAACCAGTCAATCTATCTGCGTGACTCGGTTACCTATCTTTGTAATTTTCTTGCTTTGGTCGCAGGTAAATGGCCAGGATGTATCGAACTCGAGCCACGAGGACGCGGTGCGTTGCTTTCAATCGGCCCAGGAACCGATCATCGTGGAGGTGCTGCGACGACAACCGATGCACCAGCCGCAGCAGCAGCAACTGCAACAACAACAACAACAACAACAACAACTACAACAACAACATAGTCAGCAACAGGGACAGCGAACCGGTTGGAAGGAGCAAGAGGGGAAAAACAGCAGCGAAGCGGAGAAAGAGTCGGAGAAAACGAACGAGATTGGTAACAAGCGGGAGCATGCGAGCAATATCTGTCCAAATCTGGTCTCAACCGCGGTGCAGACCGATTGGGCCGGACTATTCGAAGCAGAGGAAGAGGAAGAGTTACTGCCGGTTTCCCTCGGGGTCGACGAGCAACCGAATGACAGTTTCGATGATTGTCTCGCTCACGACATCGATTTCGAAGTACGCTGATTTATTCAGACACGATCACAGCGTAGATCGGCGTGTCGAGAGTGGATAAAACGAAGCTGTACGGTTTCAGGAGGTGACATTGCGGAAAACGGGCAGCGCCGAGAAACTTGGACTGACCGTCTGTTACAGTTCTGGTTCTGGTAGCGAAGACGCCGATACCGAGGTTTACATCTCGGAAATAGTTCCTGAAAGTCTGGCAGCCCGCGACGGCCGATTACGAGAGGGTGACCAAATCTTGAGGGTGAGTCGTCGCGTGTCTGCCGTCCGAGACCACGACCACGACCACGACCACGACCACGACCACGACCAGCGATGAATCGAGGCAGTTAATCGGATTAAGCGAGAACCAGCAGCGTTACTTTCGCGTCTTCCCTTACTCGAGCCATGTTTCCGATCTCTGCTATCCTCATTTCGTTAAGCGGATCGTAATCGTGGAACAAAGACTGTGTGTCCGTGTGTGTGCGCGCGTGTGCGTATACGCGAGCTCTACTGTGCTAGAAAACGGATGAAAAAATCATCGACCGTTTCTCTCTCTCTCTCTCTCTCTCTCTCTCTCTCAAACTTCTTTTCTCCATTTTCTTCGTTTGCTCGATTTCACTCCAATCTCGAAATGTCTTTTTACGACTGAAAAGATTTCGTCCTAGTTATTCTCGACGCTTGAACCAAGTTTCGTTACTCGTTCGATGCGTTTCGCTTTCGATCGCTATTTCCGGACGAAGCTACCTTATTCCACGTTGTTTCAGGTAAATGGAAAAGACGTAGCGAATAAGGAACAAACGGAAAACTTGTTTGCCGAAACGAAGAATGCCGTAACCATTCTTGTCAGCCGATGTCTTTATCAGGTAACGCATCCGACTCGGAGGTTCACGAGTGAACCGAAAAGAAAAGTCAGAATTTTAATCTGCTCAATCTTTTTGTAATATCGACGTGATATCGACATTCCAAAAATCTTTTTCACCTTTTTTTCTTTTTTTCTTTCTGCCTTTTTTTCTTTTATAGGATGATGATTACGAAGAGAGGCGCGTGTATCGTCGGGTGAGTAGGACGATCTCTTCTTCCGTACGAATGTTGTCCCGATTCTCCGTAGATCCTCGTGGTCGCTCGACGAACGTTCTTTGTTCAGGGTTCGCCATTGCTTTCCCCGGATCATCTACCATCTTACCAGAACAGCTTGATCGAGCAGCTGATACGACAACAACAGCAGCAGCAGCAGCAACAACAACAACAGCAGCAGCAGCAACAACAACAACAACAGCAACAGCAACAACAAACGGACGAATGGACCAAAGACACGGAGGAAAACAGTTCGACGTTGAGGCCACCACCTCCTGTTCCCTGTCACACTGCGAGTCATCAGCCGAGCAACGCCTTCTCCGCAAGCAACACCCCGTCTTCGAGTTGTTCTTCGCAGACCTCGCAAAAATCTTGCGGCAGGAACGCAGCGTCACCGGCAAGGCACTCGGATCACGATCGTAAGCAATGGACCCAAGAGGCATTGAAGGACTGCTCGAAAAAAATGGAGAGTCTCTGTATGCGTGGTCAGTCGCAATCAATTTGCGGTGTAGGTACAGCACCCGTGAGACTCGCAGACGCCTATTCGAATCACGTCTGGAGTGAAACGGAGCACATCTATGAAACTATACCGGAATCGGACAGCGAGCCGATTTATTCCTCGCCGTACGAACACCGGCACTGGCATCATTCCAATCATACCTCGAGCATCGTCGCTACCTCGCAAACCACCATTACCACCGCCGCTCCGCCACCGGCGACCGTCCTTTCGGCGATCGCGATCGCTATAACGACCACCGCCAACACCACTAACACTTCCAGCACGATGATTCAGTATTCGCAAAATCAAGGAAATCAAACTGGCAGATGGTATTGTTCGTCCAAGAGTAACAGTTCGGGCGAGGAAAAAGATAGTTCGAGTGCGTACAATACCGGCGAATCCTGCAACAGCAATCCGCTCACGTTGGAATTGCAACGCGGCGAAAAGGATCACCACAAAAGCACGTTGGTCCTTTGCCCTCCGAAAACATCGATAGTACAACTGCAACAACAACAACAGCAGCAGCAGCAGCAACAACAGCATCATCAACAACAACAACAACAACAACAAAGGTTCGGTTGTACATGCCCGACATTCGTTAACAAACAAATGAGAAATCAGTCGAACAGAAGAGGTACGAGTTCCCATCACTACAGAGAACGAATAGCCGATTCGACGAACGCGAGCAACTTGCCTGCCGATACTATGTACACGAATATGGCAAATCTTCAGCAGACGATGCTTTTGCAGCAGCAACTGTTCAAACAGGCACTCGATCGAAGAAATTCGACCATCTGTAGCTCCAGAGAAAGCAATAATGTTACTACTGTTACCGGTGGTACCGCGAAAAAGTCTAGATCTCACGGTAACTTTCAGGCTCCGAATTTGACGCGGTATCAATTTGTCGGCAGCCAACAGGTTTGCTCCTCTAGTTCCTGGATACCGCCGGAGGATAAAGGGAATCAAATACAGATGGAGTGGAAAGTGAAGAGAAGAGCAGATGGAACCAGGTACATCGCTCGAAGGCCAGTCAGAAATCGTATTCTGAGAAACAGAGCTATCAAGATATCCGAGGAGCGGGCCGGTCACAGCACCGAAGATGACACCATGTCGGAAGTAAAGGTGATGCGACGCTTTCTCGCAAGTGCCGCGGCTCGACCTAGTCTCACCTATCACCATCGTCTTTTTCTTCGTGTTTCAGGTTGGCAGATACTGGACCAAGGAAGAACGTAAAAGGCAGTTGGAACGTGCACGTGAACGTAAACAGAGACAACAAGAGTTTCAACTACAGCAGCAGCAACAACAACAACTGCAACAACAGCAGCAGCAGCAGCAGCAACAGCTTCAGTTGCAGCAGACCAACGAGTTGTTGGCGTGCGAGCACGGAGAGCACGATAAGCTCGTAAAAAAACCGCTGAATATCGTGGAGCTGAGTCACAAAAAAATGGCTCGGAAAAAGAATACTTTGGACGACTTCACTACCGTTCAAGAGATGTTGGTGCATGGAAACAGAGTCGGTGGCACAGGAGGTCCTGGTACCGGAGGCAAATTAATGGGTCTCCTCTCAGTAACGACCGTTTGAATCGTAAAACCCGTACCACCACGATATCCGACAAAAATCAATCCCTCCGTCGTTCCTTCGTGCTTCCTTTTATCGAATTATACTTGTCTCACCGCAAATTACCTCCTACTCCTCCTACTCTTCCTCCTCGCTATTCACCCGGTTCGATCGTGTCTCCCTTTTGTTCAATATCCTTACAAATATACCTTTGATCGACTCGCATTCACGAAATTAGTATCATGGATTTCAAAACGTTTTCCTTTTCCCCGCGATTTTCGTCGTTTCTTCTTTGCTTCGTTTGACTACGAAAATGATCAAACTTTATGCTACTTTCTCGATCAAGTGTTGAAACGAGACGTATCGTTCACGAAATTGCGTAAATGCCAATACGATTGTACATATTTCTCGTATAACGATATAAATGTATGTAGACTATTTTACACGATATTCAACGGATATGAAACTCTTGTGAACAAAGGAAATAGAACGAGATTGCTTCTGTAGATATGTACAATAAACGTAACGATGGTATGTTATGAATAATAAAAAAAAAAAAAAAAAAAAAAAAAAAAAAAAAAAAAAAAAAAAAAAAAAAAAAAAAAAAAAAAACAAAAAAAAAAACAAAAAGGCGGATGAATATCACGAACCGTAGTCCTGTAACTTTACAGAAAAGGACAAAAGGAAAAAGGATACTTGTATTGCCTTATGACAATTTCTTTTGCACAAGAGTCACCATTTAAACTGTGAAAAATGTCAAGGTACGATGCGTAATATGTAAAACAGGTAATATGTGCCGTAAAGAACACACACATACACACGTATATGTATATAAATAGATGTAGATGTAGATATAGACATAGATATATGCAAAGAATCATATTTTATTACGAAATTTGAAAATCTTTATCATCGACATGTGTAATTGTTCATATGTCTATTTAACGATCTATTTATCCATTTATCTATTGCATGAACGATGCATTGATGTTTAAGCTATTTAAAACTTTTCGTTCCGGAATATTTAGATGCTGAATGTATGCCGGGAAGCAATGATGAGTCGAAAAATTTAACAGAAAATCCCGCATATATTGGATCAGATTTAATTGATAGATGGAATCCTGTAACAATTCTGGATCGTCCTCGTCTTCATCAGCTTCATTCGTATCTTCTCCCAACACTAATTAACAAAGCGACAATTTTTCATGTTAAATCAACTACTTGTAACGTTATTTGGCGAACATTGGAAAAACTTAACGGATGAAAGTATAATTGGATAACAACGCGATCTCGTTCCACTTACTTAACGTAGTTTCGTAGCCTGGATCCAGATAGGCATTCTCGCCGTCATCATCTTCGTCATCGTCGTTGTCTGACTCCTATATGTTAAAGACTGATTAGTTCGAGCCGCGAAATAAAAATAAAATGTCGCAAAAGGTTTATTACTAACGTCCGTGTCCTGATTAGTAGTGACCGCTTCGATGTCGTTCGATAACTCGTTGATTATTAACTTGAATATTTTGGCCAACACAGGTATAGTGGTCCACTGATAAGGCTGTGATTCGGCTTTACTCCTCGTCCTCACGCCTTCTTCGTTTCCTACGTATTCTCGAATTTTAATTAGTCACTCGCTGTTTTGAAGTAAATATTTTATCGATATCTTGTACTGATTAACGTAAAAATAAACATTAAAAAAAGAAGAAGAAATGAACAAAGAAACGAACAACGATCGAAATATTTCCCTCGTGTTTTAAAGCTTCGTACACTGATGTACAAGTTAACTTATAACGTATTCGATTGAATCTTTCCTTTCCGAATATGTAATTTGTGGAAAGACGTTCCGAATACAAACCTGAAAATATCTGGTCTCCCTTCACCGTGATCTCGTTCAATCGACTGTCGCCATGAGTAACGCCGTACTCCAATATCTTGCAAAGCGCGACCGTTGCTACCTTTCGGTTATATCTACCGAAAAATAGGTGTTGCCTGCTGACCCATTCAGAGAGTACGAATGCGAGAGCACTTTGTCCTGTCGGACCGGGTACGGTTGACAGAAAATTTAGGATGGCATCAAACTCTGTGTTTATGAGATGAGCGTATATCATAAGCAAACTTTGTACCACGGTCAATGTCTCAGCTCGCTGCATTTTACTCAACACGGCCTTCAATAATAGATCGAGATTTTCGCCCAATGTGTTTCCCGCTTTCCTAATTAACGTTGTCACCAATCGTCCGACAAAAGTCGCTGTAAACTCGCTCAACTACAAATGCGACGCGCCTCGTTAAACAATCATTTCGTTGATACAAATGCAAATCATGTGTCGACCGTGTGGTAGAATAAAGAAACAGAAATAGATCTAGTCATCGGATAGGATTATTAAATTACCTGCGGATTCAACAGCTGTGCCACAATCTGCAGTATGTATTGTAAACCCGTTTGACCGTCACTGTCTCGATGTACCGTCACCTGCCGAGCCGCAACCGCTAAGTAAGTCCGTATTACTTCGCCACCGCTTTGCAACGTTTCGTTGTCCTCTGAATTCAATATACAATGACAGGCAGCAGGAAACGCAGTTTCAACCAATGTGCTGCTCAACGGCTTCGGAGAGTATTGCACCAATACTTGTAATATATCCAGAGCCACGTTACGGCATCTCTCTATTATAACAACCAGGACAAATAATTTCCATTATTTACATGAATGTATTGGTGTCCACACATGCGACAGCACTCGAGTATGGTTAATATTTAATAAAACTTACCATCCTTTGATTTGTCCATAGGCGTTACAGCCATCATGCTAGTCAATGTCGGTATCAAACGAGTTTGTAATGGTCCTATACAATCAGGATTTTGTGTCAAACTTTTGAATATGTCTTGACATGGACTCAAAATTTCAGGATCACTATAGAACTTTAAGAATACCGCGATAGTTAAAGGGCAAATTTTATTTTCCACTGAAGCGGTAAACGATTTATCTAACTGTAAATGTAAGAAAATTCTTATGTAACCAAGACGAATAAGGGTAGAAAAAGATGATAAATCGAATATTACCGAAACCAATACTTGTAGAGTTTCCATTACTAGAATCAAAATTTCCGTAGGTGATTGATTGACTAAATTAAAAAGTCCCTGAAATATATTTGGCAAATGAGATCGTATAATATTGCCCAAAGTACTATTATTTTCCGTCATCGACGCTTTGCAGAACCAATAAATAGCTTTCACTGCACTGATACGAATACACGAAGGTTGATTCTCTTGTAAGCCATTAACCGTTGCTTCCAAAAAACGTGAACTCATTTCTGGCGGCATTATTTCAGCGTATTTTCCACCAATGCACAAACAACGACCAAGAAGTAACGGTGGTGCACCTAAAAGTTGCCGGTACAATAAATACATAATAAGTATCAGAATATATGTACCAGCCAAGAGAGTAAAGGAAAAGCAATTGCTTTTTCATTGAAACATAACAACAATATCGGATACCTGAATCTTTTAAAGTAGCTAAAACAATTGTGTCCAGAAATTTAATAATATCGAATTGGAGCATTCCGGTTTCTTGTCTTTCCACCACGACATCTTTTACTTTACTTAACGCCAAAATTGATGATTCTTGTAATTTCCACCATGTTTTATTATTCTCACTTCCGTTGTTTGTATTTTGCAATCTACTACTAGCTTCGATGTGACGTGTTACAACTTCGCAAAGGGCATCCACTGCTTTTTTTTCGGAATAATTCACTAATGCCTGCATACGAAGAAATTGATCACGGGCAAGAAAGGTTTGGTTTAAGATGTTCTAATATTAACAAAAAGATGGAACTATTTCATTTATTTTTTAAAAGTAAATATTTAAATAGTGTACCGTTAAGAGTTCCTGTGCCGAAATGCGTACATTGTAAGCAAATATATCGTCTTCCTCGACGAATTGATTGGGACTAGTGGTCCACAATTCAATTTGATCATCGGTTATTTGCATAAAAATTACTAAATAATACATCACTTCTTGCAGTAAATTATCCAAAAGATTGGAAAATCGTTTACGATCCACGATAGAATGAACAAACTCAAATATTGCAAGAATCAGATTATTAAAGTTAATTACTTTACCTGCAGAAGAGAAAGTGCATTAAAAGAAGAGTAACTTTCAATGAATACAAATCGCGAAAACAAAACTGACCGTCTGAATCGATTTCTCTATCGTTTGTATCTCCTTCTCCATTTACGGATCTCTCTTGATAAAGTTTTGCACTTTGCACTAAAGTTTCCCAAACAGGCAGTAGCATCTGAGGTAAAAAATTTGACACATACTTAGGTAACTTGGTAACTAAGCAATTTATAGCTTTGATAACATCCGTTTTAAGCCCGCTATCGCTTGTAGGACCATCAGGTAATCGTAAACACTGAACAAATTTTTCAAAAAACATGGGTATGACAGGTTGTAGGTATTGCTCAGTAAATCCTTTTTGATACCCTTCTATAGAGGCAACTAAGTTCGTAATTGTAGTAAAGATTTCAACAGCACGACCGCGAGTTCTAATAGAGTATTGCTAAAAATTTAAATGCACATTTACTGTTAATGATTGTGTTCTTATAGGGACAATGCTTGGGTACGTAAGATTAGCATCATTACATTTTCACTTTGAAATATTCGATACATTTCTTGAAGGATTACTGGTCCCACATTTGGTAATTGAGTATCAGTAAGGTCAAACGTAAATTCTCTTAAAACCCGCATTGCTCCATGAACAGCATACTCGCTTTCCCCACTTAAACAGCTGACAAGTATATCAAACAAACCTGGCCAATTTTCTGGCCAATCCCAATGTGCAATTGCTGATATTACATAAGCTACTACTCCACGTACCTGTAATGAATAATAAAACAGAAAAGTTTTGATGAGAAATAACACATGTGTATCTAATTATATGGGAATTACCTTACTAATCGATTCACGAAGCCCTAGTGGCAATAATTCTTTGATTTTTTCCTTTGTTGCATACTTTATTTCAGGAGGTCGAAATTTTTCAGACACGGAGGACCAATGAGTATCAACATATTGCTTCAATAACACAGATGCTAACTGCCTAATAGGTAAATGTCCATTAGGATCTACTACAAATTCTGTTAAATGTATACCAAATTCCTCTGTAACTTCTAATGCTTGTATTCTTTGCTCAGCTGCTTGACGAGTTTCTCCTTGAGGTGAGAGAATATCACTTAATGTTTCATATAAAGCTTCTCTCAAAGAACCTTGTACATCCATCGCCATTATACTCATTATAATAACCTTTGCTTCTTTAGTCTTTATTTCCCATGTACAAAATATTTTTTTTGTGTAATTTCATTAAAATTTAGAATCTTAATTTTTATTTCATTATAACTTGTATTTACCTGAACACATTTGCTTGAGAAATGATTATTATTCTATTGCTAGTAGAAGTTACTAACATTACTAATTATTATTTTTAATCTCTAAAAAATAATTTCTCTGAAATTAATAAAATAGTTATTACAGATTCGATGGAAAGAGAAAGAAAAGAAGAAATGATATACTAAGATAAGTAAAAAATCGAATAATGGGAGGCGGTACTATTACTATTTATGCGTATGTTATACAACCTAAAGGACATTGATTGCATGTATATACTTTATATGTAAAACCACGCATGTTACCGTTGAAGTTCGTTAATTTCAAAATACATAAAATTAGAAACAAAATTGGCTGATACGTAATTTATTCTACTTTTCGTTTACCATAATTCGACAAAGCCGGCTTAGTCGTGTGACACAAAAGGTTAGAACATTTCTAAGATTGTATACAAATTGTATAGAAAGTATGTATTGTTTAATCTTAATATTAACAATATGCTTATATGTGAAATTTAACTTGATTTTACATCTCTTTATAACAATGAATATCTCTTATCGATAACTTTATAAATTTGTGCAAATTATATCATACGTACATGGTCCTCATAGAAGCGCCATATCAAACATTTTGTGTATGCATGCGTGCGTGCGATGTACGCACGCGTTAGCTTGCTCGCAAGCATACATTGTGCAATTAAAAAATTAGAATTATTAAACATCTTACCAATGTATACGTCCACGCATATAGATTTAAAACAAATTATAGTACAGAAACATTACTATAACAATGTAATTAGCATGTCAAAATCAATAGATAAAAACGTTAATGAAGAAGAAAGCATTTAGCTCAAATTAGGTATAAACATATACGACGACTGCTTCTATACACATATATATATTATTTAAATAATCGATTTGTTAAAATTAATATATAACATTCTGAAAGAAAATATTAAATAAAATAAATGACAGATTCATAAATCAAGCTCTTTGCAACAAGTTTAATCAGCAATAAATTATCTTTTATTTCCATTTTACCCTTTTTTATATTCCGTTCCATTTACAATTTATTAATCATTGCAAATACAACATATGTTTAGCGTACGTATGCACATATGCACACGAACGACAATAATACTTTTACTACCACCAATTAAATTGACTGTATATACAAATCTCTTAACATCTTTTATAAGAAAAATAATTTAAATTAAAAAAATAATTTAATCTTTAAATTTTTTTCTATACGATTTTAACTAGTTATGATGTAAGCACTAAATATATGTGTAATAGTTGCCAAATATTTATCGCTAAAAATGCTCGTTGATGCGTAAAAACTGGAAAAGAAAATATACAATTTAAATATCCTATGTAATCAAAAGAAGAGTGTAATTCACAATATAAGTGAATTGTTCTAGAAAAAGTATTGAAAATCATGTAACAATTTATTACATGAAAGTAAATCAATAAAAATTGATAATGCCCGAATCCGCAATAGTGATGCTATTGGCAGTAATGAATTGTTTCTTACAAAAAGCTTATTTTCCAGGTACTATTACATTAAAATATCTTCGGCCTTTTTGCCAGTCAATTTCATCAAATCGGAATGAATCCTAAACTGTAATCTAGATTCTAGCAGATATCCAGTAAATGTTTTTCTGTAATAAACAAACAATCAATGACTGAATAACAAATATGAATACACCAAGTATATTAGGTAGAAATTACATACTTGGCATCCTCTAATAATCCAATAGCAAGTTGAATATTCCCTTGATCTTGACCTAACAAAGCTAATTCTACCGTTGCATAAGGAAGTAAATAAGTATCTTCCTTGATTGACTTGTCCAACTCGAGAACACGTCTCAAACATTTCTCAGCTAATAAAGGGTGTTTCATTTGTCGTAAGCAAGCACCTTTTAAAAGTAATAAGAGCGCTTCGTTATCTGCATGAAATTCTGTTTTCCTACAAAATATTTAAAACTTTTTAACATTAACAAATAAATATTCCAAATTAGATCAAGAATGGATTCGAGCAAAAGAACTTACGATGCTTTCATAAGCTCCTTTTCAGCATCTTCAATTACTTTAAACATGTTTAATGTTAAATCTTGTCGTTTACCTATTATTCGAAATAAATTCCAGACATACATAAGCTCAAATATAGGAAGGACTAGATTTTTCTTTTGTGCAAAATACCGTTCAGTTTTTTTTATTACAAATTTTTCCATTGGTAATGACTTCCCCGCAATACGTTGCTTATAAGTAGGCGCTTGCATCATTAAGGTATCTATCATTTGTTTTTCTTGGCTTTGTGATGATGGTTTTTGCATCATAAGTATTGCAGCTCTTTGATATAAATAAATTGTACGAGACCAATGCGATTCCTTAGCTAAAGTACTGGCAAACATCGCAGCTTGATTCCATTGTTGCAATGAACAATGTGCCCACATTAATTCCCAAAAACAAATATGATGAAATTGAGGCCATAGATCTTGACTTTTCCAAGATTTGGTGTACCATTCTAACGATTTCTCAAAATTTCCCCTTGTTAGTTCTAGTCTTCCCTTAAAAAATAAAAACCATACACCATTTGGATAAAGACTTAATTCTTCTTCCAAAACTTTTTCACACCAATCTAGATCACCGTCTGTATGACTTAGAACAAACGACACGAGCAGATTGTAAGATAAAAGAAACATCGCACACAGCACATGTCGTAAACCTCTTCTTTCTTTGTACCCTGCTTCTAATTCTGACAAACCATATTCCTATTGATAGAAATAATATTGTGCCATTATAAGGGGGAAACGTTTATGCAAAATTTATTATAATAAAAAAATATTATTTTGTTACCTTATCACCCGAAAATCCAATAAACTCTAGCAGTTTGATAATTTTTGCTGGTAATAGAGAAATCATCTACAAAACCCTCAAAAACAGTTATAGCATTTTATTTTGTACAATAAAAGAATGCTTATACGTACCAGATTGAATGCACCAATACCAGTGCGGACACCACTTTCGAAATGTATTTTATGAGCATTGTTCTCCCATTTACGATTATTTAAAATTGTTAAACACTCTCTGAAAGCGGACAATGTACATGAAATTACATATGGTTTCTTAACATATTTAAGATGGACATAGATAATTCACGGTATGAGTTGTTTACTTATACGATAGAAAGCAGGTACGAATTTTGAACCCAGCTTTAACAAAGCTGACCAAAGTCTCGTCCTCCACAAACGTGAGCATCGATTTTAAAAAAAGTGATTCGGCATAACAGAGTTCCGCATGCACTTCCTCTGTAATAGTAATTCCATATCATTCCTTGCATGCTTTATGTTTAGTAATACCAATGGCACAACATGTTATAACATATGGATAATTCGTCTGTTAGTAAACAAATTCAACTAGAATATGCTTTATTAAATATTGGACTGCTAATGCTATTAAATTACCCAAATTGAAGTAATAAACTGCTTGTGAATATTCCTTAATTGGTCTATAAAGATTTAGACCTTTTAGAAATTATAAGTTATTAGAAGTGAGAAGTTATCTGTTGAATTAAAACCCATCTTTTTTACTAAGATACATCACATGCTCATTGGGAAATTGTTTAACATAACGATGCATTATATGCAAAAACTTTGTAGTTTAACAAAACATGCTGTACCCAGCTAGTACACGTGTATACATTACCAATTGTATAAGCATCGTAATTAGTCTTCTTCACCATTTTCCCAATATTTTGGGTTAGTGTGACATGTTTACGTTGCTTTAAACACACAGTCATGCACTGTTTTACAGCTCCAGCTGCCTTTTCAATGGATTTCTAAGCAACAAATACTATGATGTATTATTGAAAGACATATTTTCCAAATATCACAATTTACTATGATTTAATACTTGTTCAAATGTAAGAATAGCCTCAAGGAATGCAAATATACTTGTTCCTAAAGAATGATACATGCTACTGCTTGCCCATGGTTCCATGATTTTCCTTGCTTCTTCGAAATCATTATTAAAAAAATAATATATCGCTTTCTTTGCCTCCATTATTGCTGTATCCAAATCCATAGAAGTAGGCCTTCAAATGAAACATTAATTTAAAGTATATAAATATATGTGTATGCATATATAGATATTCATAGTATACTTACTGTGGTAAAGATTCTTGAGCATCTTGAAACTAAGATATCATTGAAATAAAAATCTAATTAACACACTGCTAATTATTACTAATAATAAACTGTTTTATTTTTGATATGCATACCTCATCTTCTTCAATGTCTGACATGCTGAATTAATACTTATAATATGCTTAAAAAAGAAAGTAGAACATATTATTATTCAATTTATTAATATTTAATCTATATATAAAATTCATATAAAAATAAAATAATGTTCTCACATTTAACAAATGTACTGCATAGAGATATTATACTTTGCAAGGTGATCCTTTTTTGCACTAGATATGTTAATTATTATAGGTGAAAGTCACTTCTTTAGACAGATTTCTAAAATGTGCTTCTTTAATTTAAGATCATTATTTCTGATCTCATATTAAAATTGCTCCTCACAGAGATAGCTATAACAAGAATTACAAAAAAATTAAACAAAAATAATTATCTATAAGATTGTAATATATTGTTATTTTTGTAATTTATTAATGTACATACGCTTTAAGATATAAAATTGGTCCTTATAATCATCATTGTATCTAACAAGTTTTTATAGATTAACGTACATTGATAACAATAATATGATAAGATCAAATATATTTTTGAAGTAATAATTAAAATTTCCTTTAATGATAACATTGATGAAAATCACTTAATTTGCAATAAACATTATCAAATGTTTACCTTGAGTTACACATATAAATGTATACTTTTATCATGGGATTTTATTCTTATTGCATTCTCAACTTTACAAAAAAATGTTTCTCTCAAATACACTCAAGAGAAATAAGATAATGATGTGATAATATGCTAAAAATAAATATATGCAAAAATGAACTGTCTGCTAATTTATTTTGTTATATAGAAATTAATTTATTTTAAAATTGAATTTGAAACATTATAAAACAAAGAAAAATTAACATTTTTAAGAAAAGAAAAAAAAGAAAAAAACATTATCATTACAATGTATCGTTAAAACTGTAAAAAACTTAATCGGAAACTATTACTATAAGTATTTATGTTTAAGAAAATAAAGTGACAACTAGGAAACAAGAAGAACCCGGAAGCGATCTAAAGTAGAATGTTACGAAGAAAGTACAACTAAGTTATCGCAACGGTACCGATAGACCTAGATCTTTTATAAATTCACAATGAAATCATAGCAATCAATAAATTGAATAAATTATACAATCAATATCTATAAATTAGTAAAACGCGATCTTTTCTTAAAATCTCTGTGAAAATAATAGAAATTACGGCATATAGTTGTTTTAAAGTAACTTCTTACCATGAATCCATCAAACGTCAAGGGATACAAGAACCAATTCATGAGAAAAGCGTAAAAAACTAACGTTTATTCATACATATTTCTAACGTAATATGATCTGAATCTAATATCTGTGTATGTTGTAATATAAAAAATAATAAGGGATTTTACATTTTTGTTTAATATTTGCAAAAATTCCTGAAACCCAGCACTACATACACAACGGCGTAAAGTATACGCCACCGACTGACGGTATACTGATATTGCCGGATCAACATACTTACGATACAACTGTACACGTGACACTGTCTTTACGCACTACAGTGGTGCTCAGTGTATGATAATAAAGTTTTATATAACACAGAAATTACGATTTTGAAAGATCTTATTTGAAATTTCTCTCTTGATCGCATTTCTAATCAGCATAATGATACAAGTTCTTAATATTTTTTGATCACACAGAATAATCAATTATCTATACTCTTATGACAATAAAGAATTGAATTATTAAAGATTAAGAATCACTGTTGGTCACGTGGGTTAGCTTTACAAGTGTTACGAATCTCCAATTTATGGGATTCTATAATGTATATTAACGTTTGTGCGATTCTATCATATTACGTTTAGCCTTTTCCAAGGCTAAGAAACAATGATATATGTATATAAATATTCATACGCAACTAAGAAAATATTTCCGATTTGAATATCTCTTTTCATATGCCATGTATTCATATGATCTCGGTAACAAATAATATATTAAAATTTCATTTAATATTTTTATCTTATGAAAAACTATCTCTAGACTTCATTTTTAAATAAGTAAAAAAATTTGTTTAAGTTCAAATTACGTGAAGAGTTATCAAACTTTTCTAAATATTGAGAATCGCTGATTCTTTAGCAGACTACTTTCTCTACCGCGAAATTTCATATAGAAGAAAAACTTTATTTGTTGTTATTAAAAAAAGAACATTTTTGACGATATGATTGTAATTTGTAATATTAATATTTTGATACTTTAATAAAGTTTTCTCTGTAAATATTTTGAACATTCGATTGAAGGTAACATTTACCTATAAAATCTTGTTTCAAATGTTGTTTATTGATATCAAATCTTGTAATTATACAGAGATATATTTATTTCAAGCAATACATTTAAAATTGATAGCGACTGAAAGAAAGATATGTATGGCATTTCAGAGGATGATGATTAGTAATAGATGTAGTGGAAAAATAGCATATGCAAAATTTAATTTGGCCATTTCTTCGGTGGCAGCACTAGTATAGACGTGTCATACGTCAAAAACAGTGAGTGTACATACATCAAACAAAATTTTGTATTGCATTATACCTTTATACTCGGTAAATTTTTTGAAAGTTATTTTATGTCACATGTTTTATAATAAACTTACCTTACCATTTATCATTGAACTTTTAAGTGTAGTAAAATAAAGAATCACTAGTTCACCTTATGCGCACAGTGTTCCATACTTTAAACGCTACTTAATGATAAATACTTTAGCTTATTCGCTGTTGGCGCAACTACTCTGATTGCATAAACATTTTTAAACGTAGAGATATTGTTTCCACTTTTCCTACTTGCTTGCTGTGATCAAAATATTTATATAGTGTAACATAACCTGTTTATAACAAAAAATAATATGAAGTTTTGATGTCACAGCATTATTTTGTTTTCCAACACCTTTCTCTTGTTAATATTACATATAATTTCTAATGTAATCTTCATGTATATATTAAATAGATGTATTTTTTATACTATATAAAAAATAATTGTATATTATTTTTACTTATTGATATATTTATTATGTCAGAACTATAAGATGACTAAACTTATAGATTAAAATTTATATAATGTAGAATAACACGAATTAGAAAAAGATGATATAGTTATATAAGTTTGATGTATTTTTTATACTATATAAAAAATAATTGTATATTATTTTTACTTATTGATATATTTATTATGTCAGAACTATAAGATGACTAAACTTATAGATTAAAATTTACATAATGTAGAATAACACGAATTAGAAAAAGATGATATAGTTATATAAGTTTGATAATGTCTGTTATTTTTGATGCTTGTATATGGAATGATGTGGCCTTTATAATTTCATACATTCAGTGGAAGGATAATGATAACCCAAAGGATTATAATGAACACTGTCATCAAATCTTGTTTCAGTAATTTTTTCTAAGGGAATGAGGACCTTGTATTGCTTTTTTAATTATCTGGGAAAGGTGGCAGGTGCTAGTTAACATAATTTATAATAATTATGGAAAATCAGAATCCCCACGGTGAAGCTTATCAAACACATCAATCCTTTTGGAAAAAAAATACCCGTGCTGTACCAGGGAGGTTTGTACAGTATTATTTCATTTTTATCAGTGTTAAGAATAAAGTTATAATTAAACCCCTAATATCAGCCATTGAGGTACTAATATAATTCTTTGTATTTTATATATACAATGAAAGACCAAGTCCAAAGCAAGATGGTAAATTTGGTAAACTAGGCAGTACTACATTGATGTCAAGTAGCTCAGCCAATATAATATCTACCAGCGGTGGAGCTATATCAGGAAGTAGCGGAGGTTCCACATCGTTTCAAGATTTTCAAGAAAGTGTAGACGATGCTTGGGATTCAGGGGATGATGAGTTCTGCACTGTCTCAGATATAAAAATATCAAAACGTGTTAGCCACTCTGCTGCTATTAGTGTTATTAATAGTCATAGATCAAGGAAAACATGTATAGATCCAGGGACAAATGTAAAATCTTCGCAACGTGTTCAGGAAATAATTCCTGAGGAGAAACGGGCGGAGGCTCTTCAAAGATTAGCCGTTCAACCGTTGCATTTGCGAAATGCTAATTTGTCTATGCATTCTCAAATAAACAACAGTCAACATTCCACAGAAGATACAGATATAAAGTATGGTGCTTCCCCTCAACATAAACCAACACAATTTCCAGGAAGACCACAGCCATTGAGACAAACAACTGCACCTACTAAATTTTTTATACCTTCCAAGGAACAAGGTGCTTATGGAATGATCTTTTACATACATTTGATTTTAATGTATTCTTAGCCTTGATTTGTTAATAATTGTAGATGGGGAAAGTAAAGTAGATAAATTTCAGTCCCTTCTGGAAGCTTCTGTATTAAACTTAGACGAACTGAGACAATTATCGTGGTCGGGTATACCTGCGAGATTGCGTTCTGTTACATGGAGGTTATTATCTGTAAGTAACACAGGTAAACTATGTCGCCCGTTTTATATCTAATGATGAAACCCTGTAAATATGTTTAAAACTGTTGCTTATTTTATACAACTCAGGAATATTTACCAGCCAATTTAGAGCGAAGACAACACGTGTTAGAACGTAAACGTTTAGATTATTGGAATTTAGTTAAACAGTATTATGATACTGAAAAAGACGAAGGATTTCAAGATACATATCGCCAAATTCATATTGACATTCCAAGAATGTCACCGCTTGTTTCGTTGTTTCAGCAAACAACGGTACAATTAATTTTTGAAAGAATACTCTTTATCTGGGCAATTCGGCATCCCGCTTCTGGATACGTTCAAGTATGTTTACGCATGATCTTGAATTGTTATATGTGCTCTTTAATTCTTTTTATCTTCATTCCTTTTACCTTGTAATTTTTTTCTTTAGGGGATGAACGATCTAGTGACACCTTTCTTTCTCGTATTTTTGCAAGAAGCAGTGCCTGTGTCAGCATGGCAGGATTTAGAAAATTATGACGTCGCGTCATTACAAAAGGAACAAAGAGATATTATAGAAGCAGATAGCTTTTGGTGCTTATCTAAATTTCTTGACGGTATTCAAGATAATTATATCTTTGCTCAATTAGGTATCCAGCACAAAGTAAACCAGTTGAAAGAATTAATACAAAGAATCGATGGTATGTGAACTAGTTGTTTCTTACATTGTTTTTTAGTTTATTGTCCCTTTCCTATTTTGCATTCAGTTAATCGTACCTTTAATTTAATCTTTTAGCTCCTTTGCATCAGCATCTACATCAACATGGAGTCGATTATTTACAATTTTCTTTCCGATGGATGAATAATTTATTAACAAGAGAAATTCCTCTTCATTGTACAATTCGCTTGTGGGACACTTACTTAGCGGAATCTGTACGATTTGCTTCGTTTCAACTTTATGTATGCGCCGCATTTCTTCTTCGTTGGAGACGTCATCTTTTATTGCAGCCTGATTTTCAAGTAAGTTTAAGCTGTAGGATTACTACAGATTTTAGTTTGATGCAAGGGTTTATTTTAGTTATTAATTAGAAAAAAGGGATGTAGACAATTTATTATCATTGTTTAGGGACTGATGTTAATGCTACAAAACCTGCCAACACAAAATTGGACAGATTCGGAAATAGGAATATTGGTAGCGGAAGCATACAAATTAAAATTTACATTTGCAGATGCTCCTAATCATTTACAGGCTCATGATACTAGGTGACCATTTTACGATGCGTTTAGATAACGATATCATAATTGTGACCAGAAACATTAGCACAAATGTTTTTGTGCTAGATCGATACGCCTGTTTCAATTGTCATCGTTTGTATTATATAACTGAATAATTTATGACCAGTTAGTTTAGATTGTTTTCTATCTGATTAAGAATTATTATTTTTAAATGGCTTTGTTCTATAGTTCATATAGAAAGCTCTGTTTTCGTTACCCTTTTCTAGAGAGACTTGAACGGTCTTTATAAATTTTATTTTTATTATTATTATTATTATTATTATTATTATTATTAGTATTATTATTATCATCATCATTATTATTATTATTGCTGTTGTTATATACTACTATTGCTGCTGCTGCTACTACTGCTGTTACTACCACTACTATTACTATTACAACCACTAATATTACTATTACTACTGCTACCATTACTACTATGACTACTATTACTATTAATATTATTGTAGTTATAATTTTTAGCGTAATTGGAATCTTCACGATAAGTTTGTTCGCCATTGCTCAGTTTGTCAGAACTGTAGATGGAAATTGAAATACGAAGTATGTACCGTGAATCGATCATTATCGATCGATTACGTTTCGTATTACATTTGTATAATATATTTAGAATTATTATATATACCGGTAAAAAATAAGCGAAAGTTTTGATAAACCAATTACCGTTATATAATTGCTATCCTGCATAGCAATTACAAATTTTCCTCTGTTCATGTGATTTTTCAGTTCTTGTCCAGAAATGGATATGTTTTGTTATTTAAACGAAACGAAAATTCGCAATGTTGGTGTATGTAATTCTCAACATCCAAAGTACGTGAAATAATGTATAAATTACAACAGTGTTATATTCGTTCATGTCGGTTCAAATTATTTTGAAATATCTTTCTAAAAGGACAGAATTTAGAATCTCGTGCCGGAATATTTTGACGAGCAAATCTTTGCCATGTTTATGCATTGCCATAATACAGACGTAACTGGAAAGATTTTTAAATATTTTTGAAATGTTTGTACGTTACTTTTAATTATTTTATAGCTAAATGATCTTACAAAATGATTAAAATAGATAATATTTTATTTGATGTCAATGATTTAGTTGATGTTTGAATGACACTGTATTTACGTATGACAGTTTAATCGAATGATAGACGTATCGAAAGGTTCATTCGCCTGATAATTTATATCTTGATAAGAATTAATCGAATGTTGTATAAAAAAGAAAAATATACAGAATACGCGTTTTGTAAGATAAATTATTCTCTTGACACGTGACACGAATTATGATTACTAATTGTTATATTTTTCGTCAATTAAAACTAAAACGGCGTAATGTTTTTCCATTCTTTAATCTTAATTTTTCAATCGAGAACTTGTACACACAAAGCGTGTAGCGTCGTTGATCAATAAACGAGACTGTCTCTTTCTTATATCTTTCTCGTATCTGTAACATTCCTTTCAAAGTATTTCAAGGTACAGGTTGGACTGGACATCATATTACAAAGGCATGATTATTTACTAAACGTACTGACATCATACGTTTATGTCACATACACAATAATACAAACTTTTTCGCTTGCGTATATGAAATGAAAGGAAAAGGAGAATGGGGATACGCGTGCCTTCTCGATACTTCTTCAACTATCATCGATGTCAATTTGACTATAATCGATATTCAATGGTTGCAAAGATGCCAATGAATCGTTAAGGTTAAACGTTTCCTGTAAAAGAAAAGAAGGGACATTGCAGTTGAGTCTAATGTATCAAATAGGAGAAATATCGCACACAGAAAAAGAGAACTCACGTAATCGACAGAAATCGGCGTCGGATATATGCAGGGGATACATTCCATGCGCGTGACGCCATTATTGTCAGCGGTGCACTCGCAGTTTTGACATGGATTAGGCCGCGCGGTTAAAGCTACCCTCTTAGAGAAAACACTGGCAAACTTTTTGATCGAAGCTAGTTTATCGAAACGTAATTTATCGCCGCTAAATATCGTTCCGTTAACCTCCAGAGTTAATGGTGTACAATAACCGAGCACACTTTTTGGAAGTTTCACCTGTTTTCGTAAATCAATGTCTCCGGTTAATGTCCTTGCATCTTTCTTCGTGTATGATTTTATCGCGTCTAAACCGTAGAAGATCTTGTTCAATCTCTCTTTTTCGAATTCGAAGTCGCCATCCATCAATATGTGAAGCGTGATATCTTTTTCTAATAAAACTTCATGTACCACCGAATAGTCCAGCTAAAAGTATAGTTTATATAATTTTAAGAGGAGGAAAGAGGATTGATGCATAAAAATAGATATCGAAAGGTTCGAATCTCTTACCGTTTGACCTTCTGGCTCGCAATGCGAGCAAGGCATTAAAATGAAAGTCTTTGACACACCAGCTCTGAACACGAGTTTCGAGGCGAACGCAATTGCCGCAAAAATATCGCGGCTTCCATCGCCAATCGGCACATGATCGAAGTAATCGATAAATCGTACCGCGTTCTTAGTGAAAATTTGCCCATCGAAGACGACGCTTCTCGGTCGATCGAATACTCCGTCTGCTCCGAAGATAACTAGAGACCACCGATTATCTGTCAGACCTTGATCTGTCAACTCTTTGCTTAGCTGAGTGACCAACTGTTCGATGCTACGATTTTCTTTCGCAGCTTGGTTACACTCTT